CTGACTGGCCTGTAGTTCCCCGGGTCCTCTTTCCTTCCCTTTTTGAAGATGGGAACCACGTTGGCCCTTTTCCAGTCCTCCGGCACCTCTCCAGAGCACCACGAGTGTTCATAAAGCCATGCCAGGGGACTTGCAATGACCCCAGCCAGTTCCTTTAGGACTCTAGGGTGAAGATCATCCAGGCCGGCTGACTTAAAGACGTCCAGCCCCTCCAGAAGCTCCCTAACTAAAGCCTCACTCACTCTAGGCCCAGGCCTAGACTTCAAACAAGTCTTGCTGATTTTTCTTCCCTAGACCTCTCTTTACTATAACAGGGTTAAGGTTTTCTGTTATAGTCATCTACATTAGTAAGTTTCGTCAAGTTTAAATGGGTTCACGCAGAAGCTGCTGCTGTGAATATTTCAGTAGTCACTTTTCTGATAACTCAACAATGTTGTGTGTGAAATGGAGGAAGTGAGAAGAGTAGATCAAAAGGTGTTGTAATGGTCTTTAGGTGCAAAGAGGAGATATATGCAAGGAGGTGGTGTCTCTGCTGCTGTTCAGTCACAGGGGCTTTCTCAAAGGTGCTTGGAAAATCAGCCAGATTCTTCTTAAATCTTTCAGAACTTGCACGCAAACTACGAACTCGGGAAACACATTTAAATGAGGGAAATCTTAACATCTCAAATCCAGTTACTTCTCTGTCATTAAGCCAAAGAAATTATTTTTCCACTAAATTTCACAGGAGTGCAAAGCAAATTATAACTTCTTTGCACCCACCCCACTGGCATAGTCAAAGGTTGAAGCTCAGAATAGCCCTTCATGTCCTTGACCAGCTCCTGTTCCATTACTGTGGTATATAGAACATTGAACAGGTCCTAAATGAAAGCAGAACTGTTCCTCCTTCAGTCTCTCAATACTAAGTTACCAAAACCCAACTCTTTTCTTTAATGAAACCACAGGTTGATATGTTGTGTAAATAAATTATTTGATAATTTTAGTGATCCTTGTTAACTCAACCATCTACTGATTCTATCTCAGGTGTGACCTTGATTTAGCCATTGCACTATTCCACCCTTACTTAGCATAGTAAAATGAATGCAAGCTAGCCTTGCTGATCTATTTACTCTAACTTGATATATTCTTGCTTGTTCTTTTAACTGAAATCCATAAAAACAGATACAATACCAGTTGCCTCCTTCCAATTGCAACACTGGCTGGTTGTTCTGAGAACCAAAGTAAGTTAGCTAAGGTTTGGTTCTCTTCATAACTTAATTCTTTGCTTCTCCCAAAAGGATACCCAGTAATGAACTCAGTGAGTTTTGAGGCAGAAGCCCAGTTTCTGGTTGATAATCCATTAGGCTTTCCTTCCAGAGACCTCAGACCACATAACTGTCAGTTCTGCTGTGACTGAAGAATGGGGAAGTTTTTTTTCCCCTCAACTTGTTTCTGATGCCAGTGGAGCAGATGGAAAGAGGTTATGATTTGCTTTGCACTCCTGTGAAATCTGATGTATGAATAATTTCTTTGGTTCAATGATAGAGAAATAGCTGGATTTGAGAAGTTAAGGGTTCCCATGTTTAAATGTGTTTCCTGAATTTGCAGTTTGTGTGCAAGTTCTGAAAGATCCAAAAAGAATATAGCTGCTTTCCCAGCACCTTGGAGAAAGCAACTGTAACAAAACAGCATCAGACGCCACCAGAGTGTACAACTGGACCAAGAGAGCTGGAAGTGCTAATTCCCTTTGATTTTTACTCGCCTAACTATACCAACATCCAACACTCACAATGCACGACATGCACACTTCAGTCTGATTCAGCCAACCAAATCCTTCCCTTACAAGACTGAGGTTGTCCCATTTCTACTGAACACCTTTGCACAGAGAGACATGGGGAAGGGGCTAACCTTTCAGAATAGTAAGATTTGGGACCCTAAGCTGTTGGAGGGAATTTTCATTCAGATAGGACATTACCCTTCCTGGAAGCATATTCCTACAGCTAAAAATTAAGTTGGGGTTTTAGAAATCTATCAGAAGCTGCTAAAATGAGGTTTTCATCGCCTGCAATCGCAACCACTACTATAAGATGACTTATTTGGCTTCTCCCTGAAATTAACCATCACTTGAAGAGTTTGTGCTTTGAAGAGGTTGTGTATTACCCAGGTGCATTTAGCTACTAAGGTAGGATATACTAGTTAAGCCATGATGATGATGCAGCCAGGACAGCATGAAGAGGCCTGGTAGATTTTCATTGTGGCTAGAAGTAACGATTATCCTGATTCTGCTTTACTGGAAGTGCTATACCTGTGTGAGAGGCAGAAAGATGATGGTGATGATGGTTTGTCCAGGTGAATAGTCACCTTAACTTGGCAAACAGAGCTGGCAGAAGGCTTTGCCTTAGAGGGTTGAGAGAGAGCCTATATTTTGCCAGAAAGCCTGGATGCCCTGGAGCATAGGAGAGCTGAGTTATTCCACAAAGGCAGTGCTTACCCCAGGATTGGGGCAGAGGGGAAAACACTGACATCCAGAGTGACCAGAGCTGAAAAAACAAAAAAACAGGAAAAAACAGCCAAAAACAAAACAAAACAAAACAGGGCAGTCCTAGCTTCTGAGAGTGGCATCTGTTAAAGAAGAGTAGTTAGCTATTGGCCAAGAAGCAGACAATGTTCCTTTAGCCCAGTGTAACACATGGATGATTTTTGAGAGTGTAGATAAATGCATCTCTATATTTGAACAGCAGTGAGTTTTCAACATACAATTTAACCCTCCAGAGGTGGGATTGAGATCCACTTTTGGTTGAGAACTGAAAGATGAGGGACCAGTGAAGTACATTTGGCTTTCAAAAATGTTGCAGCTGGAAATAGTTTGCCTTAAAAATGTGTGAACCAGTCCCCAGTAGAAGCAGGCTGTCTAAAAGTACTTCCCGAGTGTGGTTCTAATTTGGGAAGGCAAAACAAGTCTGACCGCTAAACCTGGAGAATGAGTTGGGTCCTGAGCTCACTGTATTGGTTACTTACTGGTAACCACCTGTTATTGTCTCTGTTAAAATTGTGCTTCAGCCACAAAGCTGGCAGGCAAGGAGAAATGGCTGAATATCTTGTGCAGAGCTAAGCATCTTTGGGCCTCAAGAACAGGACCTGTCCTTTTCAGGTGAGCTTGAGCAGTGAGAATGAAATATATTATTTGTGCCTTTCTTCCCATTCTGGACCTGCCTGTGATATTTCTGTGTGCTTTGCTCTGAGCGCTTACCAATATGCCTGAGGCAACGGTGCAAGCTTAGGGATGTTCTGAGGCAGCTACCTGCTTGGTTTTGGGAATCCAGTATGCATGGAATGGGAATGAATGGGCAAGATGCATTTCATGGTGATACTTCCACATGTGCCCCAGAGAGTGCAGACCAGCTGTCTCCTTCAAACAGGAAGCCCAGCGAGGGAGAGGAGGAAGAGAAAAACAGAAGCAAAACCTTGGAGGTTAGCAGGAAGCACAGTGATGGTGCTTGTGTTACACAATTGTTCAGTTACCAGCCAGGAAATGTTGTGGTAGAGTCCTGCATTGTTACTGTAAAAGAAACCCCTGACTTTATCCATCAGGTCAAAGTGAGGACACAAAGACCATTCAAGTGGGGTTAGTTCCACAAGAAAGTTTTGGCCCACACTGTTAGGCAAGCTACTAGGAAACAGTAGTTGTTTCAAGTATGAAAACAACAGAAGTGGCTTTTTTACTGTATTTACTTTTTGTAGATGGAGAGAGGCTGGGGCAGGAGCTCAGAACATCGCTCCTGGCTCCCTGGCACTGGCTGCAGACTCTGCAAATTGCTTTGATCAGATTGGGAACCAGGCCCTTTATGTGGATACTGAAGTGCACAGAGGACATCTCTATCACATGAGCTCAGATTTGGTTACTCTTGGATAGCAAGAGTGGCAAACAAGACTTTTGTGCTATGGAAAGGTTGGTGAGCAACAAAAAAATGTGTGAGAAACTTTAAATTATAGCTAAAGGACATCCAGACTTAGCATCCTATGGGTACACTTGTGTCACATCACATGGCATCATGTTGTTGTCAGGCATAAGACCCTGGTGTCTCATGACAGAATCTAGAGATGAAAGTAAGTGCAAGTGAAATCTGTGCATTGATGCATAAGCACAGGAGGGCAGAGTTCAGGTTTGGGGTATTTGGGGTAAAAGGCAGTTATGTTTTCAATAGAGGGTCTGTAAAATATCATCATCTTTGTTGGATAACGAATGGGCTCAAGAACTACTGGTACATCAGATGTGTCTGGGGTGAGAAGTCAGCCTACCTGGAAATGCAGAATGACGTGGTGGAGAACAGGATCCCAGAAAAAGGCAAAGAGAGACTCCACCAAGGAATGTCTCCTTTGTGGCAAGGCTCTGGTTTAGGACAGTTATGCAGCTGATTCTTCTATATGAAGCTGAGATGCTCCATATGGCTGCTGGTGAGTAGCGTTGAGAGTGCTGGACTGAAGCCACCAGAAGCACCCCCTTGAGGGACTCCAGTGAAAGTTTCCCTACCCAGCCCCAGAGCTATGTTCTCTCTTACTGAGGGAGGGAGCAACACCCTCTGACCAGTTCTCACATTACAGGGCAAGGAATCCCAAAATTCAGACTCCCCCAGGCTTGGAGAACAAACTGCATGGCTTTTAATAGATGAGGGAAGTGGCTATTCACTAATTACTCATAACTGCGAGAAGAGGATTGAAGTTGGACCTACTGCTAAAAGTCTCTGGGGCAAGAGCTTCACATAATATAACTTATTTATGAATATGGCTTTCTCAAGTTTGTGTGCCCTCCTCACTGTGGAATTCTACTGGTTCTAAATCTGTTGAGTAGTTTAACAAGTAGTGGTCATAGGTTCATAGTAGCTAGGGTCAGGAGGGAGCTGAACAGATCATCTAGCCTGACCCCCTGCCACAGGCAGGAATGAATGCTGGGTTCACAAGACCCCAGACAGGTGATCATCCAACCTCCTCTTGAATTTGCCCAAGGCAGGGGCGAGGACCACTTCCCTGGGAAGTTGGTTCCAGATTTTGGCCACCCTAACTGTAAAATATTGCCCCTGATCTCTAACCTAAACCTATCCTCCATCAGCTTATTACCATTGTTCCTTGTCACCCCAGGTGGTGCTAGGGAGAAAAGGGCTCTACCCATTTGCTGATGATCTCCCCTGATGAGTTTGTCGGCAGCTACCAGGTCCCCCGCTCAGCCTTCTCTTGCTGAAGCTGAACAGGTTTAGGTCCCTCAGCCTCTCTTCATAGGGCCTGTCCTGTTGCCCTCCAGTTAAGCAGGTGGCCCTCCTCTGAACCCCCTCCAGGCTGACCACATCCTTCTTAAAGTGCGGTGCCCAGTACTGGACGCAGTACTCCAATTATGGCCTGACCAATGTCGCGTAGAAGGGGAAGATCACCTCTCTGGACCAGCTTGAGATGTACCTTTGGATGCATGACAAGGTATGGCTGGCCTTGCTGGCTGCGGTCTGGCATTGGCAGCTCATGTTCATCTTGGAGTCAATAACGACTCCAAGATCCCTTTCCACCTCTGTGTTTTCAAGAGGGGAACTCCCCAGCCTGTATGTATGCTGTGGATTCCTTCTCCCAAAGTGCAGCACCCTGCATTTGTCTACGTTGAACCCCATCCTATTCTCATCTGCCCACTTTTGTAGTCTGTCTAAATCTAGTTGCAGCCTCTCTCTCCCTTCAAGTGTGTCCACAAGTAGGGAAAACATTGGTCTTCAAAAGGCATCCAGATGATATCATTTAATTTCCTAGGTTTCCCAGTTGAGGGGGTTTGACCTGGTCATAGTATATCATTATTTTCTTAAATGCAACATGCCCCGCAATTTCAGGGAAGTGTTTTTTGAGGGAAAGACACATGTATTAGCTGGGGAAGATGACTTTCTGCCCAGGACAGAAGCACCCTGCTTTGGTTCCTGCTTCACAGTACAGCAGCTGTGGGGGAGGGGAGGGGTATGGTGACTGAAACACTACCCAGGGAAGGAGGGATGAGTTTGCCACCTCTTGGAGTCTAAAACCAGTGCTGGATATTGTTCTCAGAAAGTGTGTTTTAGTTGAATACAAGTTATTGGGTTCAGAATAATCTGGATAAACTTCCATGGCCTGAGAGATGCATAAGGCTGAACTGTCTAGGTAACATAACTCTTCCACCTGGCCTTAAATTCATTTGGGCTAACATTTCAGAGTAGCAGAGCACTTGCAGACCCTTTTGAAATTTAATGGAAGATGCGGGTATTCAATGTTAAAGTGCTCTCAATATGAATATATTGTCATTATACATTGTAGTGTAGACATACTATGTTCTCTAAAGTTAGTAAGTCCAATAAAGCTGCTGATGGTAGTCTGTGCCAGTTGATTCCAGTGTTTTAGCTCTTGAAACTCAGTGCCCCTAAATAACCAGGCTTCTTGTAATCTGGTGTCTGTAAATAGTGGGTGGCCCACTAGCAGCTTTAAAGAGCTCCCAGAAGAGTAACCAATGAAGGAAGCAAGGTATGAGCAGAACTGGGGCAGGTGGGGGGTAAGCTGGTGTGCTAGGCCTAGAGCCAAAAGGGCTTCCTTTCTAGTGCCTGGGGCAGGGTATAAGGGCTTGAGTTTGCTTGCTTGTTTGCTTGCTTGCTTGTTGCTAAAAACTGTACTTTATTTGGGATAATTTCCTGAGAAGCTCTTCAAGAGCAAAACCTTCCTATGATATGTTTCAAAGTAATGAAAATGTTGAAGGCCAGATTCACTCTGAGAGAAATGGAAGGGATTTTTCCCAGGACCACAATGCAGCCAATGCCAATGGGCCAAAATCAGAAGTCAGGTCCACAAAAAAACAAGGAATTGGCCTAAAATGAGATGGTTTTTTTTTTTTAAAAAAAAAAAAAGGAATAAAACTTCCTGGCTTGAGTCTTTCATGGTCGTGGTTTCAAGTTTGCCACCAGGAGGCTTGGAAATCTTTTGTAAGGAAAAGCCAAGAGTCTTTTGTAAAAAGAGAACCCAAACAGCAGCCCTGTGACTGCTCCAACCTGGCTCCATGTGCTATACCTGAATAAATCCCAGAGATGATTATTCCAGAGTTAATTGTTCCTGGGCGCACGTTCAAACAATGCACCTGGGAGAAAAAGTCTCCAGAGCAATAATCTCTGGAATTTACTCATGTGCACTAATTGCACACAGATGTGCCCAAGATTAACATTAATTGAGATAACTTTGAAAAATGAAGATGAAATAATAGAAACATAATTGCTTAGTTTTTTTCCTTCTGAAGTGGCTTATCCCTGACAGGCTGTTATGATACAACCTCCCCATGGATGGCTGTGATGTCCCTAGGGCACCGTGACCATGTCAGCTCTGCCCTATGGGCGCCTACTAATCTCTCCTGCCATGTCTTGCTGGCTTAAATGATGAAATCTGGAGGATGCCCTTAAGCTACTGCTTGGTCACAGTCCTGACAGACTCCTCTAAACCCTGTAGATTGTTGGACCCCTTACTGGGTCCCACACTCAGGAGGTGCCTTACAAAACCCCCAAGCCTTATGGGCTGGATGTGCAGCTCCAAAACCACTCCTTTACCAGGCTCCATGCCTCACAGATGGTATTTAGATATTGTCTCTTATGATGAGGCCTTAGTTTAGTTCAGCTTCTTGTTGTCACTGGACCCTTAGCCTCAGTAATTGTGCCCTCCTGGCACTGGGGCTCTCTGCAAGCCCTGTCCCTGCGCCCTCCTAGCTCTGGGGCTGTACGCAGTAGTGCGCCCCAATGAGGTCTCCCCAATAGCCTCAGCCAAATCCACTGGTATAAATAACAATAGAAAACAAAAGCCCCTGGGCTACAACACAATAACCTAGGGTCCACCCTCTATCCCTTTTAAGAAGGCAAGTTTCTCTCTGTCTGATGTGCCTCCTCCCCACCAGCACTTATGAGCTGCTATAGTCCTCTAAGCCTACCAGCATCAGAACAGCCAGTCAAGCAGCTTTCTCTACATAAGCTCCTTCCCCCTTGGCTGCTGCCAGAGAACTAACCTCCTAGTCCCCGCCCTGGGGTCTATCTGTGCCCAGGACTCTGCTGTCTTCTGGGCAGCTGACCAGGTGCAGTGCAGGCTAATTCCCTCATTAGCCTGCTGCCATGGCAGCCTGCACCTGTGGGGGTCCTGTGTGTGCTCCTAGGGCCCTCTCTTTAGGCAGTTTCTGCCCTTTAAAGGAGCAGGTACACCTTAGTGCCCTGTGACACAGGTAATGAAAACCTTGTAATCTCTAGCCTGCAGTAATTACAGTAATTCTGCTTTGAAATTTATTTTTCAGCCAAACAGACAAAAATAAAATCTCAGGGCTAGATCTTGAAGTCACTTCAGCCTCCCTGTAATCCGTGCTGTTGTTACTTCAAGAACAAAAGAGGGTTTTCCTTGGCTCTGAATATTTGTTGCTTGAAAATCTAACTCCTTTGTTTGAAGACAGGGTAATATACAGCATAGGGCTGGGCCTCAGGAAACCTGGGTTCTGGTGCTAGCTCTACCAATTGACTTCTGGGGTAACTTTGAAAAATCATGTTACCTCTCTGCATCTTGGTTTCCCCACCTCTGCAGTAGGGATAATATAAAGCAGCTTCAGATCTACTGATAAGTGTTGCATAAAAGGTAGGTGTTATGATGTTGCATTCAGATGTTTAATTGGGAGCTGTCCTCTTTAGAAAATCTAGCTTCAAAGAGTACACAATTAATAATCTGATCCAGCATCACTAGAACAAGCCTCCGCATTATAATTCAAGTGATTCCAATTCTTGCAGGAGAACATTTTATAGCTCTCTCAATCTGGCCTTCATGACACATGGGTTAATTTATTACTGGCAGAACTAAATTGTGTTATAAGGCTTCATTGTCTCTGGCTATGCATTTTCTCTCTCTCTCTGCTCTACAACACACCATGATTATGTATGAAGTTTTACAAAGAAACACTGAAAATTTAATTCCATTAAATTTCCCTGAAGTGAAACTTCTTGTACAGCAGAAATATTAGGATAATTTTTATTAGATAGCAGTTCTGGTGTTTGGAGTCCATGCATATTTGACGATGTATTGCCATGACTCCCAGCTTATTTTTACAATCAAACTTTCCCAATACTCAATGAATTAAAAAAATTACAAAACAAGTTCTTTCTTCAGTCCCAGGAAGAAAATGAACAGCTTTAGGAAATACGAGTCCTGAGTTTTCTCTGGCCAGGCATAAACTGGCTTTTTAAGTGCTGTTAAACTTATTGTCTTTGCAAATGTGTTGTTTGCTACAAGTTTTTACACAAAGCAAATATAAATAAATAAGAGCCCATTGGATAGATGAGAACATATAATTCATGCAAAAGAGTCTGTGTTTAAAAAAAATATAGTAAAGGAGTATGAATAATTAGGAAGCAATTAGAACAATACTTCTGACAACACAGCTCTGTCCTAATTTATCTTGGATATTTATACCATCCTCATTATCATAGTATATGGTCATCTCAGAGTCTTTAGGGTATTGGTCCTCCCAACACCACTGTTCCATTTTACAGATGGAGAATTTCAGCAGATCAAAGACTAAGGGACAGATTCTGCTCCAACAATATGATGTCTATGTGGACTTAGGTGCCTAAGTGTGATACTAGTCCATGCTGTTCAGGTCCTTGAAAATCTATTATTGCAACTGCTTGTGTAACATATTATCTGACCCTTGGTAGGTAGAATAGAATTTAACTTCAGTGGCGCACCTAAGGTCACACAGGAAGAAAAGAAAAGAGCCAGGAATAGAACCCAGGTCGGTGGTTGACTCACTGGTTCATTCTTCCTCTCCTGGTTGCAGTGGTTGCTGCTGTAGTAGATAAATACTGACCCCTGCTATATCACCAGGGATCCTGGTTTTCTCTGTTTAAAAATTCCAAATCCTCTGAGAAAAATCACAAATCCTCTGATTAAAAAACCCAAAATTTTTGATTAAAACAAAACAACATTATATAATGAAACACACATGTATCTAGGTATCAATTGAACACAATGTTTTATTTGTATATTTGCAATTTTAAAGCAGTTTGGAAGTCTACTAGTGCCTCAATCACTATAATAAAATAAATTCTAAGTACCTATACATTTTGGCATTTGATTTTGGGTTTTTTTTATCATGGAAAATCAGAGCTCCCCCTCCCTCCTTTGCTCACCAGGATGAAGGTCTAGGCCCCTCACTCCCCACCCCACACCCTGACCAACCCTGCTGGAGGGGGCTCTAGGTGCCAGGGGTACAAAGCCAGGGACCTGGGTCTGCAGCCCCCTGC